GGACTAAATATACTACTGTTGTCTTCTCTATGGTCGGGTTGTTGTCTCTTTAACACATTCCCCATTTCCATTCTCAATTTTACTGCAACAGTTTGTCATCGCAACTCCTCTGAAACCACGTGCACACAACAGAATTTCCTGAAACTTTGTAGATAATAAGGAAATGCCATGTGCATGTGCATATCGACAGGAAATTATGACTCTATTTGTTTCTAGGAGTTATGCCCCTTTGAACTCAGAATTTTGACCTAAATATACACTGCAACAGTTTGTCATCGCAACTCAACTGAAACCGTACAACTGAATTTCATAAAACTTTGTAGATAATAAGAACACAATATGTAGATGTGCATATCCACAAAAAATATTATCAGTTGACTTTTCTTGGAGTTATGTCGGCTTAAATATACAATCATAACAGTTTGTCATCGCAACTCCTCTGAAACAACACAACAGAATTTCCTGAATCTTTGTAGAAACAAACGAAAAGGTTGATATGACTCTTGATGTCATAGTTGTAGCATAAAATTTAATTATAAGAATTGAATGATTTTTTATAATTTTATTGGGGTGTAAAAGCCAGAGCACATTTTGTATGAAGCGCGGAAATTGCTTCGGTCAAAGCTTTTGCGCACCAAAATTAAATTGTAAAAAGATACATTCAATTCTTATATGAATATGAATCTTGTTTTGGTCTAGACCAACACAGTGAGTGGAATTTTGAACGTGCCATATCTCAGAAGGTAAGCATCCACAGGAAGATATATCATCCTACCAAGGGACAATATTTACCAGTCTTTTCTCTTACTCCTAAAAAAATCAAAAATAGCAAAAGTCTTGTGAAGAACAGCAAAAAAACCGTCTTAATTCACAATTGTACTAGAGAGTAAAGTTTCGGATTTAGAGGCTTAGGCAAAATCTCTTCATTCTCCCGATCATTGAAATAATATTTTTTTTTTTTATAATTACGTTTCCGACCCTCTCCACCTTTTTGTTCGTACTGTAAACCACCCTCTTGGCCTTGAATGGAATCCATATACTTTAAAATAATTACAAAATTGAGAAACCACTAATCAAGACATAATAGCTGATATATACTGGTATAATTTGAAAGAAGTGCTGGCATGTGTCTGATCTGTGGTGTGATTAATACTTAGTCACCGTCAAATCGTAATATTTAACTTAAGATAAGTAGCCATTAATGCAATTATATCAATTTGGAAGCGTTATATGATGTGCAAATTTCAAACAATGGTAGAGTTGTTAGGCACTTGCATTCTCTGCAATTATTGCTCGTAAATTGCAAAAGTAGGCGTTAAATTTATATTAGTCTTTCTAATCTACTTTTTATTAAATTAATTAGAATAATTATGTAAAATTAACGCGTCAACATTCAACACTGCTATGGAGTTTTAGATAAACAGACAAGTTCCCTGATAGATAATATTTTTTCAAATATTTTTGTTTATAAGTTATAGTTTTCGAATATGTTTATAAATACAAAATGTAATTATATTTTAAAATTTGAACGCATAGTTTTATTATGATTTTTCCCCATTTAAACCTCATAGTTAGCCGATCCTAATTTTAGGTTAATTCAGAGACAAGAAGTTTTCTGAAATGCTAGTTAGACATATAGGTGACCTCTAGCGGTTCCACAAATGCTGTGGTTGAGTTCTTAATTCTTTTTTTTTTTATATCCTAATTTTAGGTTAGTTCAGAGACAAGAACTTTTCTGAAATGCTAGTTAGACATATAGGTGGCCTCTATCGATTCCACAAATGCTGTGGTTGAGTTCTTAATTCTTTTTTTATTTAGTAAGGATTTAAACCGTATACCTGCTATTATCTTGGTTACAAATATAACTGTAAAAACGTGGAAAATAAACGCCCGTTGTCCATATCAAAGTTTTCTTGTACAAGTTTTCTTGGTAAGGGAGCTACCATTTGATTTTTATGGGGGGGGCTAGGATGAAAAATTTTGTCCTGCCTTTTTATTTTTCCCTCTATTCGGTCCTGCCTTTTTATTTTTCACTCTATTCGGTCCTGCCTTTTTTTTTAGTTAATCCTGACTTTTTTTTTACATAAATTGTCATCCTGCCTTTCTTTTGCAAATAATCTCATCCTGCCTTTTTTTTTACTCAAAACTCCTGTCCTGCCTATTTTTTTCAAATTTCATTCTAGCCCCCCCATAAAAATCAAATGGTAGCTCCCTAAACAAATATTTGATAGATATTTTGACACAACCGTCAAAGAAATCTTTGATGAAAAACTGTCACGGAATTGGATGGATTAAAATCTCATCCTGTTTTTCCTAAAAATTGGATGGACTTGAGCAAGAATTATCCAATCACAGTGCACTGAGTGCATTTTTTTCTTTGACCTAGTTTTTGAAGAAAAACTTTGATAGTAGAAAAGCTAACTATGATATTGACAACCCGGCTTAGGAATAGAGGGCATCGATCATTTTATACTGTTATTGTTAAATCGTAAACTTTTAAAGATAATTAGAAAGTATACGTTTAAAAGGGGTCAATAAATTAAAGTTTTATTTTAAATGATTTTCAAAAAAGGGGGTTCCATTTACCAAGCGCTTGTGCTCTAGATGTATTTTGGTCGATTTCATTGTCATTCACCCCACATTTCTTTTTATTCGTATAGTTTCAAAAAACACTGTGTTGTGCGTCTTATTTAATATTTCCTTCTGGGGTTTGTGTCTTTTATTCATTGATTCTCAATTGTTTCAATCATATTTTATTCATTACTAGAGTAAATTATTGATGTTCCACTGATATTTGGTAATCACTTTGTTCATAATGTTGCCACCCATTAAAACATTATCTTCGTTGTCATGTTAGAATGTTTTTAAAAGGAAAAGCAGATCCACTAATGGTCCATTTTGAGAAAGAAAAAGATAAGAATGTTTTGACATGTTATTGACTATAATTTGGTGACAAATTATATCCTCGGGAAATAAAGTTAACAATCTTTGTTTTAAAATTAGTCTACAGTTAACTATTCTAACATGCTTTAAGTGATGCCCCGATAAAAAATTATTCGAATCGGATAATGAGGGTCAATGTAGGAGTATTTTTTCTTAAATATTTGTCCATTTTTATTTTTCTTCTCCCAACTTTTTTTCTCGTCTTTTTTATTTTTGCCCATTATTCTCTACTCCTTATATTTTAGCACTCCACTATTCTCTAGCTATTTTTTGTCCATTTTGCTTTATTCTTTATTGTTTTTCCAATTATTCTCTTTTCAGTAAATTCCAACCGGACCCGCGTAAATGATTTCTGTAACGTTATAGTCATTTTGATTTTTGATAACGACATAAATCCATTAGTACAACCGGGTCATGTTACTAGCGATGGACATCAGATAATAATTATAGAGGCAATACACTTGTTTATTTGTCCACTACAAATGAAAAGACCCTTACAGTTGAAAAGCTCGGTTGGTTATTATTCCCATGGGTACATGTATAATATGTTTATAAGTCAGTGCTCCAATACTTGCAGAAACGAGTTATTTTTAATTCGAAATTACTATTTATACGAAATATTAAAGATTTATAAAAGAGTGATTTTTATAGATGAACAGTTTTGTTTTCCCAAGGAAACCTTTAGGGAATAAAAAGAGCTTTTGTAAGCCACAAACCAAAACAGAAAAATAGAAAGAAACAATGAACACCATAAACCCAATTAAAATACACGAAGGATGGTCGGATAATGTTTTCTTTAGCTCTCTTATAAAGAGTTAGTAATACTATATAAAATATGTAAGTGCGTCTGCTTAAATTATGTTATGGAAATCCAAATGCAACGGACCAAATCATTTCCGGTAGTAAAGCCTTTGCTAAAGCAGGTGTTCGTTTAGATGTGTTTACTTTTATAAATTTTGGCTTGGATGGAGAGTTGTCTCATTGGCACTCATACCACATCTTCCTATATCTATATATGTATAAATTCGCAGCATTTCCGGTCGGAATTTGGACGTCAAATACGAGGTCTGATGTAGGTTGAGTAACACTTAATCCACATACTTAAAAGCCCTGACAACAACTCTCTGACGGGACCGTAGGTGGCTTCTTGCAAAGGCAAAGTTTCACCCCTATAAAATATACCCTTATTTTCGAGTTGAAGATTAGATTTCCCCTCATCTTGATCACCCCAAGAATCCAAATGCTGATCTTTAATCTGTTTTTATAAAATGAAATTAGAGCCTGAATTATGTGAATCATGTGCTTAGAATTAGTTTTAGTGATTCACGTACTGTAAATTAATTTTAGTGAATGACGTACTATCATGTATAAATTTAATGGATTACTCCTCGGATATTTTTTTTTTATTATGTAATTCCGTACTCGGAATATGTCGTGAATCTCTTACCCGAAATATTCAGTGAATCACTTACTCGAAATATTTAGATAATCACTTGCTCAAAATATTTGAGTCCATCACTTACTCGGAATATTTAGTAAATTACGTACTTGAAGGGGACTCGGTGGCCGAGTGGCCTAAGTAGTTCAACTACTGTATCACTAGACTGTCAATACTGAGGTTGTGAGTTCGAGTTCCGCACGTTGCAAGTGCGTTCAAATGCCATCCTATTAGACTAGGATTGCCAATTTTCCTGCCGGAGGTCGGTAGTTCTCTCCGGGCATTCCGGATTCCTCTACCAAGAAAACTGACCGCCACGAAATAGCCAACAGCGCTGAAAGTAGCGTTAAACACTATTTATCAATCAAGTGAATCACTTATTCGAAATATTTAGTGAATCACGTATTCAAAATATCGAGTGAATCACTGACTCGAAATATTAAGTGAATCACTTACTCGAAATATTTGGTGATTTACCGGCGTATTTGAAATATTCAGTGCTTCACTTACTCGAAATAATAAGTGAATTACTTACTCGGAATCATATTCAGTGAATAACGTTCTGGGAATTTAATTTAATTCTAAAGTTACCTTTAATGGTGCTTTCTTTTGATTTCAGACATAAAATGAGATTGACGTTACTGCTTTCCATACTTTCCTTACTTTTCATCAGTGATGTTTTTTGTCAAACAAGGTATGTGCTAATAAATTAAGCTTTTCAAAAAGCTTTTCTGACCTTAGCAACGATTTACAATTGTTATTGTTTTAGTGATATAACAGAAAGCATGTACTAACTATTTTTGATATTAGAACTTGATTCTTTGGTGTTTTCAATTCATATATATAACTGATCTGATTACCCCAACTTCCTTGGTGATACGAAATGAACGTTCCACTATTAATTATGCAAACTGAGTTGATATGTATTTAATGTTCCCTATATATATTTACATAATAGTTATTGAAAAACTGGTCATTATCGTGATACATGGACTGCCCACAGGACAGTGGTATTGACTAAGAAAGCGATAATGACTGAGCCGTATTGTGTTTTGAAAGTTTGTAATACACAACCTAACTATAATATATAGCATAAAGAGGTAAAGAAGACACAAAGTGGGATGAAAACCAATTGTTGAAGAAAAGAACCATGACAAAAAGTAAAAGACACAAACAACAAGCCATACAAACTACAAAGAAAACTAAATACTGAACATGTTTGCTATCAAAGATTTCTTCAGGTAAGGTCAAAGCAAACTAATCTTTTTTCTAGAATTCGCCGTTTCAGAATCTAATGCATTCTGGGTAATATTCTAAAAAGTGTACACCAAAGCGTCGTGATTGGTTAAAAACGTCATAAATTGAAATTCAACCAATGACGTGACGCTATTTTCATTTTGGGGTACGAACAATAAAAAACCCCATGATGTTCCTTTAGATTCTGAAACGGCCTATTGGAAAGAACAAAGGGAAACATCAAATTAACATCAAGAAGCTCGTTTACATTCATTAAGTCATAAAAATCATTGCGTAATATATTTTTGGGGAATAGAAATTATTTATTATAAATCCGATAAAATAGAAAAAAATAGGCAAAAAAAAAAAACCAAAACAATTGAGAATAGTTGGGGTGCTAAATTATAAAGAATACAGAATAATGGGCAAAACAAACAAAGAATACAGAAAAATGGTCTAAAAATTAAAGAATAGAAAAATAAAGGACACTTCATCCAGACCCCAATGAAGTAAAAGCGTCAAACAAACAGTTGATCACAAGATGGCTGAAAATTACTACAACTTAACAATAGTGGGAGATTTTTTTCTGAGAGTTAGCTTTTCGAACAAGGATTTATCATGTACGATATCAGAGGGTTTGATTGGAATTCCTTCAATTCTGTATTCTTAAATTTTTTAAGCCTTTTCTCTATTCTTTATAAATTTTGACCATTATTCTCTATTCATTATATTTAGGCACCTCACTATTCTCTATTCATTTTATCTAGGCACCTCACTATTCTCTATTCATTATATTTAGGCACCTCACTATTCTCTATTCATTTTATTTAGGCACCTCACTATTCTCTATTCATTTTATCTAGGCACCTCACTATTCTCTATTCATTTTATTTAGGCACCTCACTATTCTCTATTTTTTATGTTTATGGCCTTTTTTCTCTATTTTTTATGTTGTTTGGCCTTTTTTTCTCTATCTTTTATATTGTTTGGCCTTTGTTCTACATTGGTCACTGTTTGCTTATTACTCTCTATTATGTAAAAACCCTATCTTGACCCTCTGTAATGGGAAGACCTTGACCTATAATGGTTTACTTTTATAAATTGTTACTTGGATGGAGAGTTGTCCCATTGGCACTCATACCACATCTTCCTATATCTATAGAAGCTAGGATCAATTATAAAAATAAGGAGATGTGGTACGATATAAGAATAAGGACATGTGGTACGATATAAAATTAAGGAGGTGTGGTATGATTGCCAATGAGACAACAATCCACAACAGTTGTAATGATGTAGATGATAGCTTATTTAAATTATGTGAAAGAGAGATTAGTAAACAAATGAATAAATAGACAGTCAACTCGTTTAATAAAATACTATGATGTCACGATAGCCTTTTGCTACATGTTAGAAAATTAAGTCGTAAAACCACAAACACTGTATACATTAACAAAGCATATTTCTGTATAATCTGATTCTAAATCTTTATTGGTTATGACGCAGCATCAAACTTGTTTACATCACCATAGATTGAATAATAACAAACAATAGATATCTAAATCGGCGTATAATACATCAAACTTCGTTACTTCGTCATAGAATTAGGGAGCTACCATTTGATTTTTAGGGGGGGGGGGGGGGGCTAGGATGAAAAATTTTGTCCTGCATTTTTTTTAAGTTGTAATCTCTGTCCTGCCTTTTTATTTTTCACTCTATTCGGTCCTGCCTTTTTTTTTTTATTAGTTTATCCTATCTTTTTTACATAAATTGTCATCCTGCCTTTCTTTTTTGCCAAGTTGCTCATCCTGCCTTTTTTTTTTTTAACTCAAAACTCCTGTCCTGCCTTTTTTTCAAATTTCATCCTAGCCCTTTACGTCACAACATAATTATAACAAACAATGGATAACTAAATAGGCGTATAATACATCTTTACGTCACAATATAATTATAACAAACAATGGATAACTAAATATGCGTATAATACATCTTTACGTCACAATATAATTATAACAAACAATGGATAACTAAATAGGCGTATAATACATCAAAGATTTACAACAAATACAAGATAACTGAAACGGCGTATAATACATCAAATTTCTTTACATCATCTAATGATTATAACAAACAATAGAAAACTAAATTGGTGAATAATATAAAATGCATTATGAATTCCGTTTTACATCATTATAAAACCGACCTTGGGAAATATAAAAACATAGTTTTGAAAGGTGCATAGTAATTGCAAATTCCCTAAAGGTTTTTTTTTTCTTTGTGTTTATTTCTGCGTACGATACAGTTACAGGGGAGGTAATGACGATGCTGACGTAAAATGTTATTTTTCGCGACGTGAAACAGTGACATATCTAGAAAATATGTATTTTTCGAGTGATTTTGATCATTTGCTTGAAAACGAGTACAGGGACCCCTCTTTTTTAAAATTGAGATTTGACTTGATACTGTATGAAGATTATTTATTCCAATTTTTATGAAGAAATCACCGATGATTTTTTTTAAATAGATAAATATACAGCAAAAAAAAACGTTTTTTTCCATGAAAATTTAATAAAAATGAAATATTTCCAAAGAGTTTTACACATTGTAAGAGTATTCCTAATTTGTAAAAAAATCTACTTACACAAATCTGTGTTTATCTTTTAAATCAAAAATGTTAAGTATGTCTGTCCAAAGGATAGAAATGTCCAAGAAACCGAAATTTTATAAGGGAATGTCTAAAATTTTCACCCCATTTATCTCTAAATTTGGCAGTCAAAGGTATATTTTTTTTTACATTTTTGAATTGTCTTGGTGAAAAATAGGTTGTATGCAAATTTTCATAAAACAAATCACCGTTGGATCAAAACTGTATCGTATGCCCTTAAGACATGTATATAAAGACGCAATGGTCTCATGACATAGCAAGACATTCATGAATATTTGTGCTGAAATAATCCCCATTATGTCTAGTGAAGAAAAACCACGAATGCAATTAATTTGTTAAATTATAAATCATTGAAACTGCCACATTTTAAGTATCTGCGACGATTTTATTCGCGTTATCTTCCTACTCGCGAAAGTTGCGAAATTAAATCGTTCGCGAGAATTAGTTGCATGGTTTACAGTATTGAATTTTCCTTATTTCAGAACATCTTTTGTCAGTAATAATTGTTAATAATATACATATAGATAAACATACTTATTTATTTCAGGACCGATTTTATACGGGCTCTTCTAGTGGATTATGACAACAGAATCACGCCTAATTTTGAGCAAAGTAAGAATTTTGTAAGAACAAATAAAAGAACAAAAGAATTTATAGTAAGAATTCCAGAGATCAACAGATCGTTCGCTAAAGACCAAGTTTTCTTCCGAAAATTGTAATTTTAAGAATTTCTACTGTACATGTTCTCTTAAGGTGGTACCAAACACCTTGACTAAAATTAATTCGGCTCATTTGATTTTCATAATATTTTGACATAATATTTACTTTGACCCTTTGACAAAAATATAAAAATTTTAAAAATCTTGAACTACACACTTTATCGGAAAATTTTCATTGGATATATACATTGTGTAGCAGTTTAACAAACACTAATTTTGATCATTGAGAAGCTTAATATTTCCTTAACAATAGAACGTGATTAAAACGTTCAGCTGATTTTTACAGAGTTGTCTCCCTGTAGTGTTATGTACCACCTTAATAGGTTAAAATGTGAAAGCAAGATAAAGTCAAGATTGAATTTTTGGCCGAAGAGGTTTAGATTTTCCTTGTGGAATTTATCAGATGAATGAAATGTCAAACTGTATGAAGATTTTTAAAGAAAAACAAGGAAAATATTTGACCAGAAGTGTATTTGACATGTAAAAAAAAGAAAGAGACAAAAAATGCTAGGCAAAAAGATTTTAATGAAATATCAAGGAAAAAGCCAGATACGTTTATGGGAAAGCTTAAAACATGAGAATAAAAAAATCAGGAAAACGGAACGATGAATGAATTAAACTAGAACAAATGGTCTTTTAAACGCCTTTAAGATAGCATTGGTAACATAAACACTGCTTTGCTGCATGAAGTGAAATTGAAAAATACCGATTTTTATAGCGCACATATTTTTTTCATCAGGGTCGCTCGATACCAAAACTGTGTTGATAAAAATAACCAAACGTTTGTGGAGATCAATAGCACACGGTTTTTAACCCCAGACCGTATTCGATCAAGTTCTTCCCAAGAGAGTTACACCTTTATTTTTTTAATACATCTTCATAATCCACCACTCGGCAATCATCGGGTGAATCCGCTACTCTCGTTCATTTCGTTAAATGAAGAAACGGAATTAGCTGAGTTGAGACGATTGCATAATTTACATATCGTTTCGTTTGCAGACATTCCAACTGAAGTAGAAGTGAGTCTGTTCATCAATTCAATTGATTCAATAAATGAAGAAACTATGGTAAGTTTTCTATAGATCTTGATTCAATTTGAATATTCATAATTCACTTTTTTATTTACATTTTTCTTAACTGTTGTTCCCTTGTGATTCTTTTTGAGTTCATGCGCCTCATGTTTTGTTTGTTTGTTTGTTTTGATGTTTGTTATGTTGTTGTAATTTTTTATTGTTCGTTATTTGACCTTGGTTTGTATGCATTTAATGGCTTTAACAGATGATTTTATTATTCAAACATTAGTGAACTACTGTTGGCTCTAATTTACTTGACAACAAAGTTTTCGAACTTGTCGGGTGTTGACTCTAATTTACTTGACAACACAGTTTTCGAACTTGTCGGGTGTTGACTCTCATTTACTTGAAAACAAAGTTTTCGAAGTTGTCGGGTGTTGACTCTAATTTACTTGACAACACAGTTTTCGAAGTTGTCGGGTGTTGACTCTAATTTACTTGACAACACAGTTTTCGAAGTTGTCGGGTGTTGGCTCTAATTTACTTGACAACAAAGTTTTCGAAGTTGTCGGGTGTTGACTCTAATTTACTTGACAACAAAGTTTTCGAACTTGTCGGGTGTTGACTCTAATTTACTTGACAACAAAGTTTTCGAAGTTGTCGGGTGTTGACTCTAACTTACTTGACAACACAGTTCTCGAAATTGTCGGACGTTGGTACTGTACATTTAAAAAATTGCGTGCATTAATTATTGCGATTTTTAAATATTGGACAGAAATGCTAAATTAATTATTGCGATTTCAGGAAAATCTGCATACAGATATTGTATAAGATATCATAATGCGAGTTCTTATAATTGCGATACTCACCTATTCGCATTACTAGTATTCGCATTAATAAAAACCTCGCAATTAATTCTGATTTTACAGTAGTGTGGTTTGTTGTCCAAGATTCCAGTTTCATTTTTTTGTATCATTTTCGCTGATTTTTTTTCTCAATTTCTAGTGCCAAATTGAAATTGTATTATCGCATTGTCTCATAAATTGTTGTTATTGCGATGAAACTCTGCTCGAAATGGGATAGAAATGTAAGAGAAAAAAATGAAGAAATAAAAATTTCTATATTTATATACATTTTTCCCGAAATAAGCAAATTTAAACCAATTTCGAAAATGTTCCACTAAACAGTAAAACTGAGGAACTTGTCGCTCATTTTTATTATCATGAAATTAGTTTCAGTCACAGCAAATGCAGCTATTTTTACTTCGACCGTTTTACCTCTGTGATAAGAATCGGCGTGTTTAGAAATGGTTTAGGAACTAAGGTTCCAACTTCCCCAAACCCAGTTGGTATGAGATGGTTTGGGATATTCTATTAATGTCCCATTTAGTCATATATAATAGTTCCTTGTGTATCCATGTTCCGGACCATATGAGTATTTGGACCATAAGCGTTTTTACGCTTATTCGATACCTATATGGTCCAGTCCGTTAATGGTCAAACCAGTGTATACTCATATGGTCAAACAATACACGTATAGCCATGACCATAAGCGTATGGTCTAAATACTCATATGGTTCTGAACATTCATACTACCCCCCTTTTCCCCGATTTATGATTTTGAGCGTTTACGGAAATCAAGAAATGCTAATCAGATGCATCCAATTTATGTGAAAGTGTTATTTTATCTATTATATTGCAGGTAAAATATAGATAGATAGATAGTTTATTAACGTCTCACCATTAATATGCACAATAAAATATATACATATATCATAAAAACATAAATAGATATTAATGCCATTCTTAAAAGAATTATGAGAGACAAAAAGTAAAAATTTCCAAACATTAAAGGTCTTTATAAAACTGTGTACTTCTAAAAATTACGAAAACTTTACAGTCTAAAAATTATCGATATAAAAAACGTCTCCTTCTGTCTAAAATCGATTTGCAGGTTTTGGCACATTTGTATACTAGTATAACATTAACGTTTTGGCACCCCAACACAAAAGACAGTTTCTCACGATTCGTAAACATGTTAAAATTCTCATCTTCACTGTTTATGTATTCATAAAGTTCGTTCCTTAAATCGTCATAAAGCGGACATTCAAGTAGTACATGTTCCTCAGTTTCCATCTTACTATCACACATAAAGCAAGTCCGTTCATGCATTGGTAAACGTTCGTAGCGCCCAGTTTCGATTCGTATAGGTGCAACCCCACACCTGAATTGTGAATACGCTCTACGTTGAGCAGGAGAAAACAGTGTTTTTAAATAAAGTTCACATCTAATTTCGGTTTTTAATGTTCTGTACATGTATGTCCTTAATTTGTTACCACCATCCCTACGTCTTGCAGAAACTCGATGGAGATCATACGTCCATTTATTTTTTAAATCGGTTAAAAAGTTTATCTTCTATTTTAGCCAACACCGCAGTATTGTGAATTTCTGTGTCATTATACCAGTCACTAATATTACACTAACACCAAATGTAGACGCCAAAACTGGGTGAAAATCAAAGTCACCAAGCCACCAAAACTAAATTGTGTTATTGAAGTGGTACACAATCATGTGCCATTTTCTGCATTAAAAAGAGTCATCCAAACAAATATATTATTCTAAAATATAAAAACTGTAAACCAAATTTACAATTTGTTCCTTTGAAAATGGCTTTCAATCACAACTGATTACTTTTAGTGAAACATTCAAACAAGATAAAAGAGCAAAAATCGTCGAATCTCATCAGCCGCTCTTTCCTGATATATATATTGACCGGTGACTGAACTTCAAAAAGTGCTTTATTATTTTTATATGGTTAGTATAACCACACTTTGAGTTCATGCATAGCTCATGTCATTTGAATATTCATATAGTATCGCATTTATTTTCTGAAGTACTAATTTAAATTCAGTACATATGATCAAACATATAGCTATAGACTGTTTCTAAATACGCAGCGCAAATCTAACTATTTGCCGTCAATCGTTTAAAGTCTTGTAGTGAAATACCAACGTTCCGAAGGTAACTACTACTAAAAACAACCCTGTTTGTCAGGATATCTTAAATAAGTATAAAAAAGCGCATTCATTCTCAATTTTTAATGTAAACTCATGGACAAGTAAATTTTGGCTCAAAGACAATTGATTAACAGTTTCGTTTCTGCAAATTTGTTGGTAAGTTAAAGTAAACAATGACATCAAAAGCACTATTTTTTGTCAGGGAATGGCTAATTGGAGTGAGTGAATTGGTGTTTTAACACCTATAATGAATACATATATCCGGAAACATTTAGTTTATCCGCAAAGAAATGCTACATTTAAATCAAAAATAATTATACTAGATTTGTTCGGGAATACGTTTTTTTCACTTTGAAAGAGTATTTATTGTAGATGATCTCAAGCTAGCTGTCTATAAAGTATTGAAATCAAGTTAATCATTTATAACTTAGTCTAATAAAAGGTTTCTGAATAACAAACTCTTCATTATTTCGATTTGCTTTTAAATATGATATTTAGTCCCCAAGTTCGCTTTATAATTCATTAAAACATTTGCAAAATTGATAATATATTTTGAAAGCATCGCGATGTTAGAGATATTAAGATACAAATCGTTATATAACCATATAGCCGTGGAAAATGTTTTTAATGCTGACAGCAAAAGTTGCAATTACATCAACATGATCAAGCTACATCAGGATTGTAAGGTTTTATCGGCGTTTTTATCAATGGCTGGTTTTGAGTTATTTGACAAGCAAATAAAAGAGAAAGATTAATTGGACTTACTATGCAATTCGATCAGGTCGTTAACTTCGTATGGTTTTGAATTTGGACTGCAGGAATCTGCATTAAGTAGACACATTGTGTCTAAACACATTATTTTATTCAATTAAAACGTAATAGTGACTGATGGGGTATCATGTGTCTTTCCGAAGTTAATTAGTAACGTTTACTTTGATTTCAAACTCCAACAATTTTTTGTATTTCTTGCTTAAACTATTATTACATCTTGAGATTAAAATCTCAATTTCAGGATGTTCGCTACTCTGTTTCAAAATAATAAGCTTTTTAAAAGACTGTTATAAATTGATAGTATATAAATAAAGGAACTAAAAAAGCAGATAAAAATGAAGGGTCCGTGTGCTTGTTTTCGAGATATAAGCCATTGAAAATTTGGCGGGAAATGATTCTCTCTAGATTTTTCATACATTTAACATTGGCACCTTTTTTCTGCCTAAAAGTATGAAAAAATAACAAGGATTTAATAAGATTTTCAAAGATGGTATTTAAAACTATGTTTAATCAAATTTTGAAAAGAAAAGTAGGGGTTAGTGGGCAAAAATTTGTAATGGCACTACATGGATAACACCAGAGGATTCCGAAAATCTGGCAAAAATTCAAAAACAAGAGGAGCGAACATCCTTATCACATTTCGTCACGGTTGTATTATTCCAAGTAATGTATTGGCAATTGTCGTTCTTCTGCTTTAATATAGCATTTCTAAAAATAGAGCAACGGATCAATAGTCTATCACCGATTTGATTTTGTTATTACACACTTTTAACACAAGTTGTTTCCCTTTGCTAATTAAAGATTGGTTCTATGCCCGACAAAATGGGATGCCGTCCATGCAAAGCATGATACATTGAAAGTGATATATAGGCGTTTTGACCAATGTTTAATAAACAATAAACGTAATCACAGATAAATTTGGTATTCTGGCTAGATCTTCATTGTCAATGAAAATTTATATCCGTCCTAAGGGAAGCAACTAAAAATGTGGATCTGTAATTACACTGGGTCGATACCTCTGCCGCTGTACTGTTAGTCCCCGAGACCTCTGCTGCTGGACTATTAGTCCCCGTGGATTCTGCTGCTGAACTGTTCGTACCCGAGGATATCAACAGCTCTGCATATAGTACTTCGGTAGTAGCATGGAAACAATTCGTATATTATCTAATTAAAAATAGCTGTTGTAAAATTTTTGAATTCATTTCAAATTAAGATATCTCCTTTGTGCTTAGCTATAAGAACATTAATGGTACCTATTGTACTGCACCAGATGCGCAATTTGACAATTAATGCCTCTTCAGTGATGCTCGCGGCCAAAACATTTAAAAAACATATACCCAATGCAACGTTGCAGAGCTGGTTAAACTTAAAAAGGACATAACGTATAGCCAAATACGCTCTGATTCCTTGTCCGGCCAAAAGTATAGCCAAAACCGCTCTAGTTCCTTGTCCGGCCTAAAGTATAGCCAAATCCGCTCTGGTTCCTTGTCCGGACTAACGTATAGCCAAATCCGCTCTGGTTCCTCGTCCGGCCTAAAGTATAGCCGAATCCGCTCAGGTTCCTTGTCCGGCCTAAAGTATAGCCAAATCCGCTCTGGTTCCTTGTCCGGCCTAACATGTAGCCAAAACCGCTCTGGTTCCTTGTCCGGCCTAACGTATAGCCAAATCCGCTCTGGTTCCTTGTCCGGCCTAACGTATAGCCAAATCCGCTCTGGTTCCTCGTCCGGCCTAAAGTATAGCCAAATCCGCTCAGGTTCCTTGTCCGGCCTGAAGTATAGCCAAATCCGCTCTGGTTCCTTGTCCGGCCTAACATGTAGCCAAAACCGCTCTGGTTCCTTGTCCGGCCTAACGTATAGCCAAATCCGCTCTGGTTCCTTGTCCGGCCTAACGTATAGCCAAATCCGCTCTGGTTCCTTGTCCGGCCTAAAGTATAGCCAATTCCGCTCTGGTTCCTTGACGGTCTAAAGTATAGCTAAATCCGCTTTGGTTCCTTGTCCATCCTAACGTATAGCCAAATCCGCTCTGGTTCCTTGTCCCGGTTTGTCTTGCCTTTTTTGTTTGTTTTATCAGTAACTTGTGGGAGGCAGAATTTTGCCCTCGGGATTTTAACAAGATTTGACGTTTCGTTGTTACATGGCAACGCATCGGTTTAAATGGCACCATTGAACATTCGGCTCTCATTGTGACGTAATAACATAAGCATTGTGACTAATTTTTCTTGTGTTTCAAATGTTTTGTTATTTTAATAATTTATATCTATGGATCCTCCTACGTTTTAGACTGGTTCCTGTCCTTTATCTGTTTGGCTCTGAATCAAGGGTCTATCAGATACCCGTATGTTGCAAGTAAGAGAACCAGCCTACCTACGTTTCAGCTTCGATTAGTGGAAGAACATATTTTTGCTTTGTTTTTATATTTTGTTTTTGTTGAAATGTTTGGTGGGTTGTTTTCATTATGTGTATTTTTTCTTCTTTGCATGAGTGATAGATAATAGCAATCTAATTATAGATTCTGCATCCACGCTTCGCTTACAAAGATCTGGCAACGCCTCGATCTATTTTCTGTTTATAAGACCTTTCGGCATTCTCTGATTTTGTCGTAATGATACACCTTTTTTTAAGACAGACATTTATTTGGCTGAAGTAATAATTACCGGAACTGAAGGTTAAACGTTTTTTTTTTTCTGTTCCGTGAAAACAAAATAATAAGATGTGGTATGGCTACCAATGAGACAAACTAGTATGAGACAACTCTCCACAAGAGATCAAATAACTTAGAAATTAACAATTATAGGTGACCGGACGGCCTTCAACAATGAACAAAACCCATATCGCATAGTCAGCTATAAAAGGCCCCGAATTGACATATGTAAAACTATTCAACAGTGAAAACTAACGTCTTGGTTTATGTACAAAACAATAAACAAAAAACAAATATGATATTCAACAACAAACGACAAATTGTTTACAAACAAAGTTCGTTTGTTTTTACAGTAACTCTACCAATAAACTTTCCTAACTGGTCATGTTTGTTATATATGTAAAATCTATAGGACACTGCTCAATGCACCTTTAAAGATTGAGAGTTAATGCATTAATTGATTTTACCCTTTATTTATTAACGATTCATAACTAGTTTAGATTTAACATGATGATAATTTCTATGAAAGACGATAATTGAAGAATCTCGTCATACTGCTATTGGGAATAATATCATCCGTCGCATATCAAAAATCAAAACTTTAATTACTCGTAGTAAATGTAGAAACCACGTCAAGTGTTAGATAATGCTCCAATTTAATATTCTTTCTTAATTTTTGTGATAGACTGACATTAGGAAAAATATCTAAATGTTTTTATCCTGCAGTCAGCCAACTATTGTACAAATAACAGGTACACAAATAAATTTTTGCTTTATTTGTACTTGTACAAATAAAGTCTCCTGTTACCCCTCTTCCATGTTGAGCAAGCGGTATTTTGGATATTTCGTTTTGCGTCACAGTTCATTTTGGGGTCCTCTTCGCGGTTCGCGTTTAAACTAAAGTTTCAAGTGTTGGGTGTAAATTTCAGGATAAAAACAATATAAGTACATTGTCGGAAAATATTAAATTTATTTGTACTCGCTGCGAAACAGGAGAAAAGCTCGGCGAGCCTCGCTTTTCGTCCTGTTTCTAAGGCTCATACAAATAAATTTTATATTTTCCGATAATGTACATATATTGTATATTTATTCGATGGCTTTCAGATATTTAGCTTTCAGCGTTCCTGATGAAAGTAAATCCAGAAAAGTGCTTCTGATGCATGAAATTTTTAAAGTGTTGTTTTAATTTTTTACATAAACCATGCTTTTCTATAAAATTAATGAGTATTGTATACCACTCATTCTGTCCAATGTCACGAGAGAAAAGCATGCAATAAGTTTAATAGTACTTGACAATTCTTATAGTTATTTGAACATAGCATGATAATTCATTGTATTTTAAGAATTCTGTTTGAAGTTTCAAATTGTGTTCTGGGAATATTATTTTTCAAATATCAAATATAAGATCCTTTGTTTATTATAGAAATCTATCCAAGCGTATGAATTTCATTTTAAATTAATTCTGAATCCATTTTAAATAATTTCACAGTTCTTACATAGATCGGGTCTATTTAGCATTAGTAAATAGTTTATTCATTTTGAAGACTGGAATCTGATGTTCAGCAGTTGTCGTTGTTGATGTAGTTCATAAGTGTTTCTCGTTTCTCGTTTTTTATATATAGATTAGACCGTTGGTTTTCCCGTTTGAATGGTTTTACACTAGTAATTTTTGGGGCCCTTTATAGCTTGCTGTTCGGTGTGAGCCAAGGCTCCGTGTTGAAGACCGTACTTTGACCTATAATGGTTTACTTTTATAAATTTTGACTTGGATGAAGAGTTCTCTCATTGGCACTCATACCACATCTTCTTATATCTATTTGGTTGTGTGTGCCCTCAGTAAATATGGGCAAATCTAATACTATATTCTTTATTATTTTGATTCCACGTGTGTTTTTGTTGTCCTTCAAACAGCTAATTCGTTAGTTTACCTAATAGATCACACATGTATGTAATTAAAAAAAAACTTTTTACAGATTTCACCTTACACAAAGATAAATTTGCTCTTTCCGCTAGCTCCATATCGATAGTGAAAATGTATGTCACTCCGAAAGGAAATAACTCGTACAAGTGAATAACTACTTTTTTAAATGCCTTTCTTGTTCAAAATTTTTATCTAGTAAATTACACATCTGATTATAACATTTTTACATCGCGATGACCTTGAGGTCATCCCGATGTATTGCTATCGCCTAGATTTCCATTATGTAAATTAGTTTTGGGTTTGTAACCGATCTATAAACATGATAAATACGCGCACATAAACGAGTGCAAAATAACATTCCTTATCGTTTGATATAAATACATCTCTTCAATGAATACTGATAAAAATATTTTTGTTTACAACATAAATTAATAATATGAAAATGTTTTGTAGTTAGATATATATATATAAGTAAAAAATCATTGATAATATCAATGCACACGTACCGAAAAATTGTGTTAAAGCATGCGGAAGAATATCTCAAAGAACGTTTTGTGAAAATACCGTCAAGGACCGGTAACTCTGTAATTGATTTTGCGGGAAAATATGAATGCCTACTCGTATCCAATCTTAGAAAAATCGAATTTTTACAGAAAAGTGTCCACCATGCACTTGCATTGCACTATTTTTAGAATAGTAGAATAGAATGATATACAAATGGATTCAAATCATATATATATGTGACTGTTATTTTAATATAATATAAACAACAACTCAGTGTATACTGATTTGTATCACTACAATATAATAGTTATTACGGTGAAGTTGAATTTCCTGTCATTTATTCATCATCCACGCACGAACTTGTCTCAGAAAAAAATATATCTCTGTACATTAACCTCAGTTTTAGGTAAAGAGATATGTTGTTTTTTTCTGAGACAAGTGCTTTTGACCATCCTCAAGAACTTGTGGTCATCCGATGTTCAGTACTTCAGTACTTTGATTATTCTTTATTTTATTTTCTTATTGTGTTTTAAACCAAATGATGAAATACCGGTAGAACATTCTTATGACTTAATGTACGTCCCCTAGTTTTGTTTTTCATTTTGTATTTTACATTTTTTTTATATCTTGATCTGTAATTCTCATAAACTCAGCTTTACGAACATTGAAATCTAAATTAAACATGTTAAAAGTCAGCGAAAAGAATTTTCTTTTTTTAAAGGATTTTACAATGAACACATTTGTACAACAAGAGTGGAAAGACACACGTTTAGAGTTCCATGGTTTTATTGACGTCGAATATCTTGAACTGGATGCTGGTTTAATCAAAGAAATATGGGTACCAGACCTCTACTTTACAAATGAAAAGGTTGCATCTTTCCATGATGTAACTGTACCCAATAAAATGTTACATCTTTTCAGCGACGGCAGTATTGTGTACAGATTAAGGTATACGACAAAGATTACTGCGGATGGTTTAGGGGCGACCATTTGATTTTCGGGGGAGGGGGGGATTTTTAAAAGAGAACTTATACTGGCATACACAGCTACTTTTGCACGTGTACTTGTATATTACTATACTTTTATAGTATTGAAAGTGTACCTAAATAGTTTAGTAGGGGTCTCACTAATTAGCGAAAAAAGCGACAAGAAGAGACACGAAGAATAATTTAGCGACAAGAAAACTAATGTAGCGCAAAGAAATCTAAATATTAAAAATTTAAAAAAAATAGATTTAGAAACATGCATTAAAGTTTTCTTTTAATATAAGTGTATTTTCATTACATATATGTAGAGTTGGCAGGGTTGACATATCAAAGATTCATAAATAATTATAAGATATAATATAATCTCAGACTCAGGGTGATTTCTTTATTATTTCATTTTGTTAAGGATGTTCGCTCCTCTTGTTTTTGAATTTTTGTCAGATATTCGGAATCCTCTGGTTTTATCCATGTAGTACCATAAAAAAAATTGCCCACTAACGCCTGCTTTTCTTTCCATAATTTGATTACATATAGTTCAAAATGTCATCTTATAAAATCCTTGTTATTTTTTCATCATTTTTGAAAGAAAAAAGGTGCCAATGTTAAATGTATGAAAAATCTAGAGAGAATTATTTCCCGCCAAATTTTCAATGGCTTATATCTCGAAAACAAGCACACAGACCCTTCATTTTTTTTCTTTATTTATATATTATCAATTTATTACAGTCTTTTAAAAAGCTTGTTATTTTGAAACAGAGTAGCGAACATCCTTAAGCCATTTTCTCAATTCTTCATGGACACGTAGCATAATCAGATGATTGAGGATTAGAATCCAATGTATGCTCTTTTATTTAGAATAATTGCCATGTACTTTTATTTACTTAATTCAATTACTAATTAACCCCTGTTGTGACATAAACATGATTGTTGCAAAATGTTCAGATTAATACATACTTTGAAATAATGTAATATTTTTTTCACTAAAAATTCATTACAAAACTGTAGTGCTACTATATACAATAAAATTTGAAACTTTAATAAACAACAAATAACCAGCTGTAATTAATTGGACTTTTTCTACTAATTTATAATTTTGATAGGATATAAACTTTCTTGTCGCTAAATTTGTCTTCTTGTCGCTAATTTTTTCTTCTTGTCACTAAAATTCTTCTTGTCGCTTATTAGTGAGACCGGTTTAGTAGTTATGTAGTACTTCCAAACTAGTCACGGTTAGTACCATAATTTTACAGTACTAGATTTGTACTATCAATTTCAGTTTTGTACCTCCGTAGTGTAGTCTTATGAAGGTACAATAAATATAACAAAGTACATAGCTGAAAGTGTAATTATTTAAAAGCATACTGGATTGGTACGAAAATGGTTTGTACCAAAAATGTACTACGCATTAAAAGTATAAAACTGTTCCTATTAACGTGAAGTACTAATCCAGTAGTGTGAAAGTATGGTACTGAAATAGTACAATCACTTCCAAGTACTAAGAAAGTACTACATTCTTTATGTGTGTTTTCAGTTCTTCAAAGGAGTAAGTTCGATAGGGCCCCGATTATTAAGGTCAATGTTACAAGATGAAAAATGTTTTAAGTTGATGAAAAGACGGCTTCAGAAAATCAAATGGTCGTCTCCTTATAGCTTAGAATATTAGACAATTAGGTTCTTATTTAATACTATTCACTATCGTCTTTTTTAGATATTGTTCCCGAAGTTTTTTTAATATATTTGGACTTGAATAAAATGAAACAGAGAGTCGAAAGATGCCAAATGGATATTCAAACTTATAAGTCGAAAGATGCCAAATGGATATTCAAACTTATAAGTCGAAAGATAACAAATGGATATTCAAACTTATAAGTCGAAAGCAAACACACGATCAAAAGACAAACAGCAATATACAAAACACAAAAAGACTGAGCAACACGAACTTCACTAAAAACTGGGGGTGAAAGGCGGACTTCAACAATGGACAAACGTCTTAAACATAAATGGTCCCGGGTTTACAAAAAGAGCCTATCTAATGTATGAAGATCTGCACTCAATACCAATTCTCTAAACGACAAAAATATAAAGATATATAACAACTGTTACAGTATAATTCGTCAAATATTAAACTCAAAGTACTTAAAGTTTCTATTAACATGATTTTATCCGAGGCCTGCGTTTAAATATTGTTTATGATAATTATAAACACTTGAGAAGTTAAGTAAATGTAATAGTTATTTTTCTAGTTATTTTTGTGATTTTGATTTAAGACCCAAACTTACTGGTTATTTTTTTCCAGAATTTCCTTGAAAGCATCTTGTCCCATGGATCTGTACAAATACCCTATGGATGAACAGACATGTTCATTGTATCTTCAAAGTTGTAAGTATATAACTGAATATGTATTTAAGAATTGAATGCTCCTTTTTGTAAATTTATTGAAGTGCAAAAGCCTTGACAGAAGTACATTTTGTATGAAGCGCTTCATTCTAAAAAAATCTGCGCACTGTCAACGCTTTTACAACCCTATAAAATTACTAAAAGAAGCATTTAATACTTATAATTACGTATTTTTGCTAGGATCATGACAACACGCCTTCTATCAAGTTTTTCTTTTATTTACCTCTGCACTTTATTGTGGAAGCTCGTTTCATCATGAATGTTACATTTTATTTTGAAATTTTGAAATGAAGGTTAATTTCAAAATGACGCGAGATTGCTGTTAGCCAATCAAAATAACGTATCATAATGAAACCTACATGTAATGTGATTATAAGTAAATGATCCATGGAATGTATGCATATATCCTGTAATCAGTCAATTATTGTACAGATAACAAGTAATCATCGAATACATTTTTGCTGTATTTGTAAAGTATACATTTAACGTCACAGTTCCGTTTGGATTCTTCCTCATAGTCGTTGTTAAAGCCATGTCGATTTCTATGTAAAATTAAAGGCCGAAAAATGGATAAATGTACTTTGCCAGAAAATAAAGAATTCCTTTGCGGTTGCATCGAAACAAGAGAAACGTTCGACAAACCTTACTTATCGTTCTACAGTATATTTCCCTACAATTCTCATATGTGACCCGCCATGACATTTACAGGCTTATCACGGTAATCATTTTCAAAGTTAATACTTGACATGTATATTAACCAACACCAAAGGGTGTGTCATAATGTATTTTACAACTTCCTAGGTCAAAGGTCAAGGTCAAAAACTTTTCATTTAGTTGACAACCCCATGTCCTATGGTGAAGATCATGTCCGCTCTATATCTCAAGAACCGTTATGATTTCAAAGTTTATACTTGACATGTATAAAAATTAACACCAGAGGGTGGGTCATAATTTATAATGTACAACTTCCTAGGTTAAAGGTCAAGGTAAAAACACTTTGGTTTCAGTTGACTACCCAATGTCCAATGATAAAAATACAACAAATTGTGTCCGCTCTTTATCTAGAGAACCGTTATGATTTCAAAGTTTATACTTGACATGTATATTAACCAACACCAGAGGGTGTGTCATAATGTATGTACAACTTCCTAGGTCAAAGGTCAAAGGTCAAAAACTTTGGTTTTAGTTGACAACCCCATGTCCTATGGTAAAGATCGTGTCCGCTCTACATCTTGAGAACCGTTATGATTTTAAAGTTTATACTTGACATGTATATACACCAACACCAGAGGGTGTGTCATAATTTACGTACAACTTCCTAGGTTAAAGGTCAAGGTCAAAAACTTTGGTTTCAGTTGACAACCCCAGGTCCAATGATAAAGATACAAATTTTTTACCACACATTATTCACAGCGGGGCCCACAGAGATGGCTCCCATCTAAATGATATCTAGTTTTTTCATGATTTGAGGAAATTTGATTTTTATAATAAGATATACAAAACAAGTAGATTTTTTACGTAAAATCAATGATTTAGGTTAAAATCCAGTTTAGAATCGCGTAATGTAAAGAGTAAAGAGCACACTATTTACCTATTAACGCATTTCATTCATAAAAAGCGCAAAGGGGGTGGGGGTGGGGGGTGATAGATACAAAATCTTGTTCGATGTATTGCTTGCTTTCAAATCCAATTGGACGCGTAGTTTCAGAGAGGAGTATTGATAAAAAAGAAACATTTCTAGAACCAGTTGTGAAGAATTGATTGCTTGTTAATTGCGCAACAACGTCCAGTAACAAATATTTTAAACATGATTGAGTCGCGGAGAAATACCTAGTTTAAAGTGGATGAAATGACTGAAAATCCTGTGACATGTATTGCTGAAATATTTAAGTTGACACGATAAAAACAGATACGTCCAACACACAAAAAAAAAAAAAAAAACAAAAAAAAAACAGAAGTTTACTCAAAGATAAAAAAAATACTATTAATGTAACATACAAGTGTATATAACTCATTTTCCGCAGAACGAATTTTTATTTTAGAAAACTTGAAGTAGAAGGATTTAATGTTAATACTAACTATAATTTCATTGATGTTGTAAAGAAAAGAAAAAAGCCTGAGAGCATGCTTTTTATTATCCATTTAAGGAAATCTTTATTTACATTTTCTTTTTATAGAATTAATTTTACCCATAGTAATTGATTCTTTGTATTATTTTTGGCAGTTGCTTTTACAACAAACGGAATAGTATTTAAATGGAAAAACGATTCGGCGGTTCAAAAAAGTAACAGATTTGAATTACCACAATTTCGATTGGTTGGAAATGACACATTGGAATGTAATGAAAGCTATGGAACAAACGGAAATGGTACGTTTATCATGCATGTAATTGTCAACTTGATATTTTCATTGAGCGATAAACAATTATCAATTTTCGGAAGATACGTGCATTGGACAAAACCCAAGACCCTGATGGATCATATAATATATATCCAACAGTATGCCTGGTGTACCCTTTAATCATAATTGAAGCAACATTGTTTTACTTTATTCTCTTCTAATCGTATAGTGGTTCTATTTGTTCCATGTTTTGAGGTTTACTGGTTCTGATTATTCTTGATTCTGTGTGATCCTGGTTGTGAGTAATCAAGGTTCTCGGAGGGTTACTGGTTCTGATTGTTCCTGTTTCTGTGTGATCCTGGTTCTCAGTGTTTCTGGTTCCTAGCGTTCCTGGTTCTAATTGTTCCAGGTTCTCGGAGGGTTACTGGTTCTGATTGTTCCTGTTTCTGTGTGATCCTGGTTCTCAGTGTTTCTTGTTCCTAGCGTTCCTGGTTGTGAGTGTTCCAGGTTATCGGAGGTTACTAGTTCTGATTGTTCCTGTTTCTGTGTGATCCTGGTTCTCAGTGTTTCTGGTTCCTAGCGTTCCTGGTTCTGATTGTTCCAGGTTCTCGGTGGGTTACTAGTTCTGATTGTTCCTGATTCTGTGTGGTCCTAGTTCTCAGTGTTTCTTGTTCCTAGCGTTCCTCGTTGTGAGTGCTCAGGTTCTCGGTGGGTTACTAGTTCTGATTGTTCCTGTTTCTGTGTGATCCTTGTTCTCAGTGTTTCTGGTTCCTATCGTTCCTGGTTTTGAGTGTTCCAGGTTCTCGGTGGGTTACTAGTTCTGATTGTTCCTGATTCTGTGTGGTCCTGGTTCTCAGTGTTTCTTGTTCCTAGCGTTCAAGGTTGTGACCCTTCCTTGCTATGCTATTTAAGTCAGAACTGAACGCAGCCATCCGAATATCAATCAATCTATATCGTAATGGTGTTTTTGATGGAAATTAACAGTTTTTGGTATACTATATATTGTTTTCATACTTTGCTAATAATCGTTTTAATGCACGACTTATTGTACATTTCCGTTTTATAACACAAAATCCGATATATGATTATTTTCTTAGAAATTCCCCGTTTATAGTTTAAGAAATTACTCAGAAACTGAGGTTTTAACTCCTTCAAGCAAAGTTGACCTTAGATTAATTTGACTATACTTTTTGTCCCTTTTGGTTATATAGCTCATAACGTTTCAACGTATTTATGTATCCTTTGCTTTGAAATGATGGTTAATCTGGAAAGTGCTTCGGACGCACGACATTTCTAAAGGTTTTTTTTTCATTTATAATACTATAAATTGTATATGTCAATTTATCAAAAAATCTAAATAAACACAACATCTAAGGATGTGGTCATGTCAGGTTTAGGAATGTTTGTCAGATGTTCGAACTCCTTGGGTTTTTTCCTACGATACAGGGTAAAATATTTTGGCCCATATCACCCACTTTTCTTTTCATATAAGACTTCAGTAGCTCATAAAAGGTCATTTACCAAAGTTTAAGCAGATTCTAGATTTCTTTTCTTACGATTTGAGACCAAAATAATGCCGATGCTAAATATAAGGTAAAAGTCCGAGTCAGCCTTTTCTCGACATTTTTACAAAAATAAATATCTCGAAAAGGAGTTCCATAACCAATATTTTTAGCTTCTTTTGTTCCTTAACTAAATTAATGCTCTTCTGATTTTAAATTCCAGATTTTTTCAATTTCACCTATATACATAATTACATCCTTAACACACAAAAAGGTGGGATGTTTAGCTGGCTATAAATAAAATTGAGAATGGAAACGGGGAATGTGTCAAAGGGACATCAACCCGACCAAAGACCAGAAAACAACCCAAGGCCACCAATGGGTCTTCAACACAGCGAGAAAATCCCACACCCAGAGGCGGACTTCAGCTGGCCTCTAAACAAAAATGTGTACTATTTTAGAGAAAATGCATGGACGTCACACTAAACTCCGAAACATATAAATGAACCAAATGAAAATAAAAAAAAAAAACACACACGAGACTTACAAGACTTACAAAGACCAGTGGTTCCTGACTTGGTTCAACCCACTATTTTCTTCGGAAAATGTCTGTACCAAGTCAGGAATATGACAGTTGGTTTTAACTCGTTCCGTTGATTGATGGCGTTTGTTTTGTCAGTTTTTATGGATCTCCCCTTTTTGAATTTACCTTGGGTTCGGAATTTTTGTTATGCTTTTTAAAAACACAATTGAGCAACAAGAAACTCAACTAGTAAATCCTTTCGATTTGGCAGGAAAGTTGCTCGTGTTCATCGAGTCACACCCGTCGCGTCCTTCATGACATGCCAAAACTCGTGACATGTCAAGTTCACTAAATGTCTACAAGGAAATGAGGAAGGGTTTGAGACTTCGAAAATAAAGAACATATCCGAAAGTCATCTGTGACACAGATATCAAATAACGGCCAAACAAATCATGATGGCGTACGTGATGCCATCCGTATAATTATCCCAGAAATAACTTCAATTTTCCATATTTCACATTAACCTCTTCTCGTCCTGAATATGCATGTAACATTTGCCGCTAGACGTTAAACATGTAATTATTACTTGTTAAAATAAAGACTTTTTACCATTGCCTACATTTTATTAACCATATCCATGTATTCTGTTTTTACAGCAACATTTAGCTGTATCCAGCTCAATCTTCATTTCATGCGGAACATTGGTTATTATATGATACAGTTTTTTGTACCTAGTGTGATGATTGTTTTACTGTCTTGGGTCTCGTTCTGGTTGACGATCGATGCTGTTCCGGCACGCATTTCGTTAGGTATTCTCACTGTTTTAACTATGACGACACAGAGATCAGCGGGTACTGCGTCACTTCCGAGAGTATCATATATTAAAGCGATAGACGTTTGGATGGGAGCTTGTTTAGTGTTTGTATTTGCTGCGCTATTAGAATTTGCATTTGTAAACGTAATGGAACGGCGACAGATCAGACGAGTTCAAAGTGTTCGGCTCAAAGGGAATGGAGAAAGTAAACCTTGTCTGGTAGGTATATTCCGACGACATTTCCCTGTAAAAATTCTAGTATAAACCTAAAGAGATATATCTTTATAAACATTAAAATTACATTTGTACTCTGATTAAATTTCAAGCCGCCTGTTTAATAGTCATTTTTTATACAAATTTGGAAAATGAGATATTTTTTTTTAGACTAGGCTGCATGAATGTCTATTTTTTAGTTTTCCTGTACCGCTTTTTTACAATATTTATGAGTCATTACATTTCTGTTCAAGCTGCCTTTTGAAGGATACAATGTAATTCATTTATGCTAAATGCAATGTCAGGTCAATCTTTTTACAAATCCTCTTGACCCCACCCAAATATCAAACGGTCGTCCCCTAACAGCAAAACATCAATATTCATTTTACGTATTAATATTACTATTAAGTGTTGACGTAGATGCTACATCTTGATGTAACTGTTACGTATTTGTATAACTGTTAATGTAACTGTTACGTATTTGTATAACTATTAATGTAACTGTTACGTGTTAATCTAACTGTTACGCGTTAATGTAACTGTTACGTGTTAATGTAATTGTTACGCGTTAATGTAACTGTTACGTATTTGCATTACTGTTTATGTAACTTACGTGTTTATGTAACTGTTACGTGTTAATGCTACTGTTACGTTTAAGTATTACAATTTACTGATGGATCGACAAAAAATATAAACATGATAAATAAAAGAAAAGAAGACACACAACAGTCAACAAAACAATTATACACAAAAAATAGAGAATAAGCAATAAGAACCCCATCGAAAATCGGAGATGAACACAGGTGCCCCTGGCGGAAGAGCAGGACAAGCTTGCCACTAGTGGCAGCATGACAACTGAAAACCAAATGATAAGTTGACTCCCTCAATCCACAAGAAACCTCATGCTAAAGAACGCGTCCGTTATTGTGTGCACGATGCGGGAATATTAAGCCAAGTCCGGTTAGAATAGGAATCACGATCCCTGTTTGTTTAAGGACCCTTCCAAAAACTATTTGAGGGGGACGTATTAAGCCTGATCCAAGGCACAATATCTGAAAATATCCGCCTGATCTAAGGCTCAATATCTAAAAATATCCGCCTGATCAAAGGCGCAGTATCTTAAACTTTCAGCCTGAGCTAAGGTGCAATAACTGAAAATATCCGCATAATCTAAGTTAATTATTAGTGTTGTTCGGTCACGAGTTGAATATATTTCGATACTTGAATTCTTTGATTAGTTTTTCTTTTTATTACATTAACAATGGGATTTTTATTGGAATTAAAGTAGAAAATGTACGCATTTATAATTTGCTCTGATGCGACGTCATCGATAACGTCTTGACAACACCTATTGTTGTATCACGTCAGAGGAGTGAAATAACCGAATTTATTTCACTGGGAAATCACGCTACATCATTGCAACCAATGTAATAACTGCAAATATCTGAACCACCATTAGTTTTCAGTGGCAGTCAAAATCCCTTTCTTTGTCTTTGTTGACTATTGTTAATTTGTTTTCGTCTAGAATATACATGAAATATTTGCCACTTGACGTTAAGCAGACAACACATAGAAGGCAGTCAATTATCAGTACAGTTATTCTAATAATTACTATTTAGCAAATATATTTTTTATCACAGGATGAATTGGAAAGGAATATTTACAAGCCACCAATGACTGGTCACAAGAAAGCCAAGACAATAGACAATGTTTCACGCGTTGTATTTCCTATATCTTTTATATTATTTTGTGCTGTGTATTGGGTGTATTACGTGATGTGAGAACAGGAAGCCAATCAAATTTGCATATTTATATTTCGATTGGATACATTAAATAAACGGGGTTTTTAAAAAAGGAAAACTGCATGAACACGTTCTCAATGCGTACTACTGCTGAAGTTTTCTAACAAATGTAAATGTCTGTCTTGTGTTACTTAACAACGAAGTTTATTATTTTAAGATTCGAGTTTAAAAGACGTGAAATATAAATATTAATAACATAAAATTAATATGCAATTTTTCAAAATTGAAATGATAAGTATGTGAGAAAATTAACAAAAGGAAAACCTATGACTTAAGATGATGGGTTTCATAATATGAAAATAAGGAGATGTGGTATGGTTTCCAATGAGACAGCTATCCATCAAAGTTTAAATGAAGTGCATGGATGTAAGTTATTATAGGCAACCGTTCGGCCTTCAACAATGAGAAAAACCCATACCGTATAGTTGGCTTTAAACGGACCCGACATGAAAAATATGAAACAAATCAATTGTGAAAATTAACGGCATAATTTATAACAAAACAATTTACAAAAAATAAATACATGTATGACAGACATGAACCAACAACAACCATTGAATTACAGGCTCCCGACTTGGGAAAAGCACATGTAGAATGAGGCGGGGTTAAACATATTTGCGGGTGCATATGTACACATTACATTTCGTATAAATATCATTATGTTCAAAATAGAACTTTATTAAAGTACGAGTTTCTTAACGTTGTATGGAAAAATAAGATCATTATTAATGTTAATATCAGCACATATTAATTCAAACTTCTGTTGATATAATCAAATTTGTGACACACGCATGAGTAAATCTATTATTGATTGAATTATCAACCATTATAATAAGTTTGTTTGAAAATTCAATTCTATATTCTTTAAGGCATTTTCTCTATTCTTTATAAATTTTGTCCATTATTCTCGATTCTTTATATTTTGCCCCCTCCCTTCCCCCAATATTCTATATTCTTTATTTTTTGGCCTTTTTTTCTCTCTATTCTTTATTTTATTTACCCATTTTTCTATAGCATTGACCCATTATTGTCTATTCTGAAAACCTTATCCAGACCATCAGACATACCTACAAACATAAATAAGTTAACAAATCTTAATTTAAGTGTTCAATTTCAATGGCAAAACAGATTAATGCAAAACTTTAGTTTTTCAATCAAGTAGAGACAACTCGGAGTAGAACATCATCCCACAAGACCTACACATTTGAATAGGACAAGAATTAATAATTTAGTATAATAGCTATTTCACTGATCATTAGGAAATCATGATTTTGAAATATATTGTTGTGTTGAATAATTGAAATATGCCTATGTATGAATTTCTGAAATCAGACGATTAGCTGTAATATATACGTCAATGAGACAGCAAGCCAACCAAACAACTACCATCCCTTATTTTATATTTTTATTACTTTAAATATGTGCTAATTATTATTTAAATGTTTGTAAATAAAAAAATAATGACACTGAATCGTATTTTTATATTCTCGAGTCTCTCTGGCAACAAACCCAGAATGAAAAATAATGCAATCATGTTAAAGCTCCTTCTAAGAACATATTTCGTAGATTTGATAATAGGAACAAAAGGTTATGTTGACTCGAGGGACACAGAACAGATAAATAATATAATTGAAACCAAATAAAAATCAGGACATTAGACTTCAAGCAGAATGTGATATGCTATATACATAAGTTAAAAATAAATTTAATGAAAGAAATCGATTGCAAGTATAAGGAATATTTTGAAGATATCTCTAGATATACAGGTAGCATCCAGTCTAGCTGCTGTGATATGTCCAAATAAAAACCAGTTTAAAATTTCTGAAAAGTTACACAACAGAAATCCAGGTATTTCAGAATGATAAATATGTGGATGCAATAACACACCAGAAATGAATAAAGATAAGAGAACACGTTTTGTGAGATTAACATACCATTCACCAGAATTAAAGACAAATATACCCAATTTTTGATCAGAAAACTTAGGTACCATAACTGCACGGGATATTTTGATACCAAGGTGTGTACTAATTATTGATCAGCAAACTTAGGTACCATAACTGCAGGTGATATTTTGATACCAAGGTGTGTACTAATTATTGATCAGCAAACTTAGGTACCATAACTGCAGATGATATTTTGATACCAAGGTGTGTACTAATTACTGATCAGCAAACTTGGGTACCATAGCTGCAGATGATATTTTGATACCAAGGTGTGTACTAATTATGGCAGATGATATTTTGATACCAATGTTTGTACTGGTTATTGACCAGCAAGGTCAGTTCAATGTCATAGCTAAAGGGAATATGTCAATTTTAAGTTACTTCCGTTCGTCACAGCTTGATGATCAAGTTAAAATTTGTAGGAGTTGCTTCATTCCTGGTGAAAAGTTATTACTGTCTTGGTTCGAAGGTAAGAAACTTTTCACTTGTGCATCTGATGAATCAAATTAATTCACGTCGACTTTATGTCATAACACATTGTTTTGTATGACATTGATCAAGTTGTTGTAACCGGATGTAAGAAAGACGCCACCGTCATCGATCTGGTATCCTTAAACCTGCAGGGTGCAAGTTCCATGTACAAGGATTTTGTTCAGGTGTTATTCGTTTACACGAAAATATTTGGATTGAAAATAAGAAAAATGCTCATATCATTGTTTATATGAATGCTGATGTTCTAAAAGCATTATAAAGAATGTTTGATCCCCGATTCATTTCCACCAGCCAAGATGGCATTATGTACTACACAGATTTCAGTAGCCGCAATACCTACGCTTTGACAACATACGGAAAAGAAATAGTGTTTTATAACTCAAGTCTTGACCATACACGATAGGCGACATAGGTAGCAAAATACAGTTAGGAAAAAAAAAAATAATTACCCTCATAAATTTTACCATCCCCTTTTCCTTGCTTTTTTACAAATTAAGCTGACTGTTTGTGTCTTAAATGTTCGTATGTATGTAATCATTGTCGTCCGAAGATTTGATTTCCAGTAGTTGAAATGGTGAAATATAATTTCATTTTGGTGTATCCATGGAATCAATCTGCATTTATTTGCTATAAGATATTGCAAAAAGGGATGTGAAGATGTCACATATTCCATCAAAAGGTGTTTAAAAGTAGAATTTCAATACCTTGGAGTGATGCCTTTCTAAAACTGTTTACATATGTTTATCAAGAGATCAGACAATTTCATTTGTGTTTCGTCTCATTTTTTATGTGTGACAAAATATTACCTCCCCTGAAAACACAGAATTCTTGATCTTTTCAATAAAATTGAGAATGGAAATGGGGAATGTGTCAAAGAGACATCAACCCAACCATAGTGCAGACAACAGCCGAAGGCCACCAATGGGTCTTCAATGCAGCGAGAAATTCCCGCACCCGGAGGCGTCCTTCAGCTGGCCCCTAAACAAATATGTTTACTAGTTCAGTGATAATGGACGTCATACTAAACTCCAAATTATACACAGGAAACTAAAATTAAAAATGATACAAGACTAACAAAGGCCAGAGACTCCTGACTTGGGACAGACCCAAAAATGCGGCAGGGTTAAACATGTTTTTTGAGATCTCAACCCTCCCCTATACCTCTAGCCAATGTAGAAAAAACAAACGTATAACAGTACGCACAGTAAAACTCAGTTTAAGAGAAGTCCGAGTCCGATGTCAGAATAGGAAACAAAAGAAAATAAACAAAATGACAATAATTCATAAATAACAACAGACTACTAGCAGTTACTGACATGCCAGCTCCAGACCTCAATTAAACTGATTGAAAGATTATGTCTTCATCATATGAATATCAGGCACAATCCCTCCTGTTAGGGGTTTAGTATTATACCGTCATAAAATATATGAGAAGAACACGTGTCATGCCAACAACTGGTTTTAGAATAAATATGTTTAATTCCGACGCAAAGACCCTATAAGTGAATCAATATTAAAGCCAAAATATGCAATCTTTAATGACCTGACAACAGTATCGTAACTATATCCCTTCTTAATGTTTGTCTCGTTTTAACAGGGACGCTATTAATCATAAATTCACAAGAAAAAGTTTTGGTAAATAGTAGCAATAAAATGTAATGGAAATAAAAACAAAATTTTCATTTAATGTTATCATTTCCCTCCTAAAGTAGCAAACGACGAGTACAGCAGGCGGCTATAGGAGCTTTGTGTAAAATTGGTTTAAAATGTTGCTATGCAAATAAATTTCAGAAGTATCAACTTCAAATTATATTTTTACTGGCCGAATACCTCTCTGGATCACGACAATTATCCGTATATGTATGCAGCTAAATCAGAGTAGTTCAGGGAAAAAATTCAATGGAATCGATTGGTAAAGATTAACACTTTTAAAATTAAGTTACTAAGCAAATTCAAACGGACCTTATCCCGATGTAAACTCTGAAAGTGAATAGATCGAGAAGACCACAAAACACAGAAATCGAGACGTTTTCTTAAAATTGCATAAAACATAGTAAAATATTTTAACGGATAACTTATTTTATATAAAATTGAGAATGGAAATGGGGAATGTGTCAAAGAGACAACAACCCGACCATAGAACAGACAACAGCAGAAGGTCACCAACAGGTCATCAATGCAGCGAGAAATTCCCGCACCCGGAGGCGTCCTTCAGCTGGCCCCTAAACAAATATATATACTAGTTCAGTGATAATGAACGCCATACTAAACTCCAAATTGTACACAAGAAACTAAAATTAAAAATAATACAAGACTAACAAAGGCTAGAGGCTCCTGACTTGGGACAGGCGCAAAAATGCGGCGGGGTTAAACATGTTTATGAGATCTCAACCCTCCCCCTATACCTCTAGCCAATGTAGAAAAGTAAACGCATAACAATACGCACATTAAAATTCAGTTCATGAATATTTATCTTTAATTTATTAACTTGCACATGTACAGACATGCCTTTTAAATTGTTATATTCACGAAAACACAAAGTTTCTATATGGAAAATACACGTGACACGGTGTACTCGAAAACTTAAGACGTGAAAATAGGTATATTTTGGGAAATTGTAACATGCTAGGGACTATGTGGAACACCAAGAAAATGTTTGACCTGAAAGATCTTTAGATTTTGTATGTGAATTTTTTAATCAATATGTAAAAAAGATTCACATTTTATAAATTTCAGTTCCACAAGCTTCTAATGCAAAATTATCTCCGTAAATAATAAACATAAAACATCGTGTCATTGTATTTATTTTTCTTATAACACAGGCTAACAAACAATTTCTTTAAAATGTACGATTGTTGTTTAGAAAAAAACTTTTGATCAGTATCGTCATCGGCATTTTTTTTACTGTTGATTTTCTCGACTTTTTCATAAGAAGCCACAGGTAAGTGATAAACTATTACGGTAAATCTGTCAATGTTTATGAATACAATGAGTAATGACTCTAAATAATCTTCGTTAATAAATGTATACTTATTTGATTTTAGAATTCATGCTTTTTGAAAGGTTTCCGTTTGAAACCCGCTCTGCTGAAGTAATAAGCATATAGTTATACACGAAGCAGAAAGAAGTTTTGTCTCGCTTTTGGGTAGATAATAAGATTTTTGGTGGACGTATATGTACTTTGGAGCCTTGTCCATTTATAGACGTTCTATCAAAATAATTACGTACATACGTTATTTCCGTTTTGAAATTTTAGCCAATATACTTTTTGTCGGTCAAACAATTTAGAACAATGTGATTTCGTAGGGTAATAATATGCTTACTAAAGGATTTATACATTATTGGGTTTCACACTTTTGGGTTTACAAAATGAAAAATGATACGACCAAAGAGAGGCAACTCTAAGATTTATCTTCTTGTTTTTCCATGTACATCTTTTAGATTATCAAACATATAATATTTTAGATACTATCACCTTTATTATCACATTATTAAGCACAAATGATATTTTAAAACTTTTTAGAAGATTCAAGCCTAAGATATTTTAAGGATTAATATGATTTTGAAATTTATTTATATAACATGTCGTACATAAACGACAATGTATCATAAACTTTTAAACTTTGGTTGGTATTAATACACATGTTTATTTACTACAATATATATTCATACGTTTAAAATTGAAATATATTGTATTTTATGTACTTGTAATAAGTTGTACTTGAAAACAAACATATCATCTATCTACTGACAGTTGATTAATTTGATCCGCTAGAAGTGCTTAACTGGATTTTCCTTTATCAAGAAATCTCAAACCGAAACATTTGATAGCAATTGATGTACCAGACCAAAACATACGAAATTAAGGATAACTCTGACTGAGTGAGTTTGAACCTTAGTTTCTCAATACCTTCCTAATTTATCAAGGGGCCTCGGTGGCCGAGTGGTCTAAGTAGTTACTACTGTAATCACTACCAGTAAACACTGAGGTTGTGAGTTCGAACCCCGCTCGTGCGGGTGCACTCGACTCCAATCTTAATTGACTAGGATTGTCAGTTTTCCTATCGAAGGTCGGTGGTTTTCTCCGGCACTCCGGCTTCCTCCACCAATAAAAACTGGCCGCCGAGAAATAGCCCAAAAGTGGTGCTTAAAGGTGGCGTTAAAACACCAAAAATCAAAATCAAATCCTAATTTATCAACAGAGAATTTACAAAAACTTGAAAAAGTTTTTTTCTAAATCATGTAAGTATCGAAAAACTGTCTTTTTTAATTGATTATGCCCTCGGGGCCTAACAGTCAACAGGCATTGGTATCGCACAAGTGTATGCAAATGAATATATCACTTGATTAATTTCGTGCGTCCGAAGCGCTTAACTGGATTTAAAAGAGGGACGAAAGATACCAGAGGGACAGTCAAATTCATAGATCGAAAACAAACTGACAACGTCATGGCCAAAAATAAACAGACAAATAATAGTACAGATGACACAACATAGAAAACTAAAGACTAAGCAACACGAACCCCACCAAAACCTGGTTGTGATCTCAGGTGCTCCAGAAAGGTAAGCAGATCCTGCTCCACATGTGGCACCCGTCGTGATTTACCTTCATCAGGAATGCTCAAACCCAAACATTGGATAGCCATTGCTGTATAATACCAAATACACGAAGAGCAATATGAAAAAGAGGTTAACTTTGCCTGAGTGAGTTTGAACATTAGTTTCTTAATTTATCCTCAAGTGGTGTTGACCCATTGCTAGTTTAATTAAAATACCACTTAATTCCTTTCGTGTGTCCAGTTTCCTTTTCAAGCATACCCGATGAATGTAAATACATTAAAGAGCTTGAAAAAAATTGTAAAGACTTATTGTTAACTTCATGTACTATATATCTATAATTTAATTTTGGATGTAACGCGTCTTCCGATTGGCTGACGTTGTTTTGTTTATCAGCTCATAGACATAATTTTGTCATGTGACCTTGACGTCATCAACGTTTTTTCATGATTTACTCCGGTTTAAAATGGAATAAAGGATTAAATTATAAGAAATGACTGTAATATTTTTTCTGTCTATTCGAAATAACATAAAAAATGTGGTGCACACTTTAAAATAACCCGCTACGCGGGTTATTCATTGTGCACCACATTTTTGATGTTATTTCTTCATAGACAGAAAAAATATTACAGTCATTCCTTAAATAACTTAATTGTAAATTTACCGTATTTTAAAAAAAGGAAGTACTTTTAAAACTGACAAAACCAAACGCTCGACTTAAACGACTAACTGGAAAACAGCTTTCATATTCCGGACTTGGTACAAGCATCTTCCGAATAAAATATGCATATATGACGTACTTTAGAGATATTCAAATTCATTTTAGTCATGTTTGACGTAAAAACACCCGTTACATCAAATTCAAATAAACTTTGAAATAGAAAAGAATTTTTTTCTAGCTAAACTCACTAATATTGCTTTCTGCAGACAATTAAAACACAGATATGAGAATAAACTTACAGATGACGACGGATATGATTCAATTGTCGTATAAACAACAATCCCCTCCTTCTTTCCTCGAATGTGACCTGACTAATTAGACTTTACCGAAAAAAGTAAAATCACAAAAATACTGAACTCCGAGGAAAATTCAAAAAGGAAAGTCCCCAATCAAATGGCAAAATCAAAAGTTCAAACACATCAAACGAATGGATAACAACTGTCATATTCCTGACTTGGTACAGGCATTTTCTTATGTAGAAAATGGTGGATTGAACCTGGTTTTATAGCTAGCTAAACCTCTCACTTGTATGACAGTCGCATCAAATTCCATTATATTTTGTCCGAGTTTGTACTTACATGAGCAACACGACGGGTGTACCAGAGTACCCAAGATCGCCCCAATTTTTTTTATGGGGCTTGTTTTACACAGTCTATATCTTTATATGTTGTGTAGTATACCGTTTGACTTTTGATCGTTCATTCAGTTTGTTTCCATGGCATTGTCAGTTGTTTTCGACTTATGAGTTTGAATATCCCTTTGGTATCTTTCGCCTCTCTCTTACTCTGTGTTTAAGTTTATTATTGATCGTTTCGGAGTATACTTCATAAAACAACCTTCTTTAATGCCAAAGTATTAGTAATTGACGACCCCAATTCCACAGTTCATTGAATAGGACATCAGATAGTGCAATCAGACCGATCGTTTTCTTGTTTGAAATTTTTTTACTTTTGTCATTTCGGGACCTTTTGTAGGTACCATGCGATATGTGATTTGCTCCTTGTTGAAGGCCGAACACAAACAAATCAGCCAGATTTATGCCATATTTTTCAAAAGCCATCTATGCCTGGGGTAGAAAACTTTATGAACATCAACTTTAAGAAAATAACCATATATATGGCATTGATTTTTTGAAAGTGTGGTATTGGAGTGGCGATTGATAAAACTCAGGCTTGCAAACTAATTAATTTATTGTACTATCTAAACATTCTTCTGATGCTGCCCACTAAGTACTTTATCATTAATGATAACAGGTCATCTTGTTTTACTCCTGTTTGCCTTAAGGATTTCTGAGCATTTATTACAATGACGGTAAACATATTCATTAAACCAAACACAAATATAAATACGAACAAAACTATAAAAACAGGACCTAATTCAGGATGAAATTCAATATATTGATTAAAATTGACTATCCTGAACGTACATTCTATAAGGACCATAAAACTGTCCCCGAATGATTTGTAACCAGATAATGAAGCGCCAAACAACAAATGTCCACAACATGCAAACGCTAACAACGAAATAATATAGATAAAAGCGAAATATTTTAAGGGTTTGTTTACATGTTCCATCATTGAAAATAGATATTTCAATTTCTGATTCAGCATTAAAAGTTTCAGTAGTTTTATCATTATAATTACGGTTAATAAAGCCAAAATGTAAAATAATATGCAATCCCATAGTATGGCAAGACTAAAATTAATGTAGCTGTCTCTACCATGACTTCTGTACTGCTGGATTATGTGTGTTATCATTCTAAATCTCTCTATAAAAATCGCCATTGAAGTATAGCACAATATTAACATGAACATGGAAAGTTTGTTCCAAAATGTTCTAAAGTATATTTTTAAACCGACCAGTCTTATCCTTTTTATCTCAATATAAGACAGGAAAATCGTCAAAAGAAAAAATATAATCTCAAACACCAAACTGGTAATTTCTTTACTAGTGGAGTAGTGGGATAAAGGTGTTGTATATATCTGAAATGATTTCGTTAGTGTACCTGGGTTGCTATACTCAAAAACGATCATAACTGAACTATACATGTTAACATTAGGATTATACAACACGAATTCTATAAAGACAGCTCTTGTTCTTTTGTCAATCCATGACTTAAGCATTAACTCTGAAATCTTTAAAACAGCTGAAGGACCTGCGTTCATGTCAACCAAATAGCCACCCCCACCATATATTGCACGCTCGCCTAGATATGGTACAGACTCTAAGTCCCAAGCATTTTGGTAGGTCCATTCATCAGTGGATGATACCCGTTGTGACTGAATCTGCCAGGACTTGTTGTAATTGTCATTGTCATCATTTATCGTGTTCAAAGAAGACGTACATTCCATGCCAAGATTGTCAAAGCCAAATAGTTTCTTTAACTTATCTGGAAATTTACAGCTGTCTGAAAAAAATAAATGTGTTTATGAAAACTTGTTAGATCTTAAAATAACCGAATAGTCAATGATAAACACATATCTGTATTCCTATGTACACTTTGCCCGAAATAGTTTGAACTTTATGCCAAAGTGAAGAATTTTGATTATCAAACTACATCCTTTCAGCATGTATAATAATTTATTATGTATACAATAAAGCAATCATTTGCCATCCATATCATCTTTTTCTTTCCAAATATTCTCATTTTTAAATGGCCATATTTCAAAAACAAGGACATACATGTAGACCAATACATTATCATTTGAAAAATACTTCACGAATGGTTTTGATGTTATCCTGCCAAAAGTGTGAGTTTGCATTCAAACCACATGCAAGTACCAGAAGAAGGAGAAAAAAAAGGGGGGGGGGGGGGCTGGGGAACTAATCGTATTATTACAAGTCACGTTGAAATGCCAGATTTAGATTGGTTTATAAGAGGGAGATATTTTACTTTATCCCATGGCTAAGATTCTATTACTTTTCACGTAGATGCTTTATAAATTTGGATAGACTTTGTAATATGTACCACCACCTAATCGGACCCGGTCAAAAAAGAACATACTGGAAAGTAGTACATATTTAAACAAAATAGTTCCTACGCATAGGTGTAAATTCAAAACTATGTAGCATATATTTTAGTAATTAAGGTATCAGAGGAAAGGTAAAGGACTGGTGATCCTTGTAGAACACACTATTTACTGATAATTTTGAATAATACAAAAATGTATGAATGAATTCTAAAATTGAGGGCATATATTGCCTGTTTCTCAGATATGAAGTGCCTGGTTTGTTGTATCCAAATTTCCGGTAACCAGTGCAGTATGATCTGATGTATAGGTATATATAAACGTATACGTTGAAAACACTTAAAATTTAGCCTCGGGGTGTTGCAGAATAAGCTTTAGCACAGACAAAGTGTTGTGAACTTGAACGTTAGTGACACAATATTTTATTCGAATAATGTCAATATTGATGCACTGGTTTCTGGATGGTTTAAAGTCAATCATCAGTGAAAAATGTATATCATTATCCTGCAGACAACACGAGTATCCAGAACAACCGAAGACATCTGGACATGCTCGATACGAAAAGTCTACAAACTTCAAAGTGAAAAAAAAAAATTTTAAAAAATGAAGAAGTCACAGAGTGAAAAAAAAAGGCTAAAATTATAAAGTACAGATCTAGGAGTACATCAAAATTTTGAAAATAGACAAGACCATGTGTTTGTTTTGAGATAAAACATTTAAGCAAACTGCGAGTTGTTGGCCGAAATAGATGTCTCTGGATATGTTAAATGTATTGGATAAAATTAATGTTTAACTGCATGAAAAAAATATTTAAGAAAAGAGAATTTTAAAATACTTTTTTACAGGAAGTGTGTATAATTTTAAAAACTATTGATGAATATAAGGAATTTCTAGGCAAAACTAATTTTTCAAATAGATTAAGGGTCTCCTGCAATGCTTGCTGCACTCACAATGTTATAAGACTAAAGAATTACAAGATGTAACAAAAAATAAAATAAAAACAAGCGAAACCCTTGAAGACGATTTAAACATAGAAATTCTTGAAAAGTATAATGCAAATTTTGAATGTGTATTAAATATATATCGTCACTGACCTCGTTGTTTATTTATTGTTTACCTCTTTGAACCCTTATCTGTCGCAGACGAAATTTTCCTATTAGTAGAAAATCATTTTCTGGAATCTTCCTTGACATGTCATATGGTATTGTTCTATTCAATGGCGGAATCACACTTTCATTGATATAAGTCCAGACATCACCGCGTGTCTTAACCTACAAATCATATTTAGATATATTATGCTCAACAAAGAACAAATTAAGTTAAGTTTTTGTGTGAATATAAGCCTCAAGACAATACTTATCATTTCAATCAATATATTTTGTTATGTCTTTTTGTTTAAATTTCGTCCTTTATTTTCTATTTTTAACATGTCTCAACTCATAGCGATGTGTCTTTAGTGAAGAGTTCTCCAACAGTGAAATCGACACTTCATAAGTTTAACAGTCACCATCATTAATTGGTGAACCCGTACCATGTCTCAACTCATAGCGATGTGTTTTCGCGTCTTAGCTCCATAAATCCTAGTATATTCTGATCTGTAATTTTACCGATTATGCCATATTCCCAATTATGAAATGTGGATTGAGTGTGGATTGAATGTGGATATGCAAGTCGGATGATGCATGCAAAGCAGGAGATACTTAGGGAGCTACCATTTGATTTTTATGAGGGGGGGGGGGGGGGGGGGGGGAGGAGGCTAGGATGAATAATTTTGTCCTGCATTTTTTTTTAGTTGTAATCTCTGTCCTGCTTTTTTATTTTTCACTCTATTCGGTCCTGCCTTTTATTTTTAAAGTTTATCCTGAATTTTTTTTTACCTTAATTGTCATCCTGACTTTTTTTTTGCAAGTGTCTCATCCTGCCTTTTTTTTTACTCAAAACTCCTGTTCTGCCTATTTTTTTCAAATGTCATCCTAGCCCCCATAAAAATCAAATGGTAGCTCCCTTAGCGGTCGACACACCCTGTCTCGCTCCTGATGGAGGTCATACAATTACCTTAGTGTTTTGTTTAATTATTATTTACCTTGATTTGTATCTTGTTAATGACTTTATGCGATTTAAAAATCGGAACAGTACTGATGCGTCAAAATTGACTTATGGTTTATGATTGATCATTGGTACTTCCTTTCTCTTAGTCTTACTTACGGTTTCTAATTTCTTTTTGATAAAAATATTATTGATATCGTGTGACTGCATGAAACATTTCTCCACGGGTCTATGGTTGTGTACAACAAATAGCAACATAAATGTGAAAAACACGTAAAGAATTATGTCCTGAAGATTTGTCTGGATTTTTTCTTTTAAATCAATTTCTTGTTTAGCTTTCTTCAAACTTTTTTTTGAAGCATGTTCTGGGATTATTGATTTCATATTACTTCTTTTCTGCAATAATGTATTGCTTTCTGGAATTAAAAGATAAATATTTCATTAGACATCAGCTAAACGTTATTTAGTTTTTATATACTAATATAAGAAAAGTGTATGATTATGTCTACATGATTTAATGTTAAAAAACTGGTGGTAAGGAACTACATGATATAATAATGGTGGGAATTGCTGGATGGTGATTACACTTTTGTATTGTGTAAACACTGGTTGTATGACATTTTGAGAAAGAAAATACTTTACATATCTAGAACCTAAGATAGTTTTGCATCACTGAAATGACAAAAATTGTCGAAATGCGCATCTGGTGGATTAAATTTAGTACCTTTTATGGAACTATTTACGGGATATTATATATCCCATATTTCAATTTGTTATTTTTCAAATCGAGGGTTATAACTCTTCTGAAATAAAATGCTTTTCTTGATTTTCCCCATCAGATTTAAATCCATACATATGAAATCCATTGATGTATAAGAACCGAAACACGCGGAAATCTATAACACCAAAAAGGGGCAAAAAAAAAATAGCCAATTAACTTTGCCTGAGGGAGTTGGAACCTTAGTTTCTTTATAATTTCTAATTTAATAAAAAAAAAACAAAAAACTTAAGAAAGGTATTTTATGAATCATGTCAGTCCCGAACAAGACTAATAGTCAAACTGCAGCAGTATCTATCCAGTGCTGTATAAAATGGAGAACAAAAAATCTTGATCAATTTCTATGTGTCCGAAGCGCTCTTATGATTGGTTTACCTTATCAGGAACGCTAAACGCCAAACATAAAAAGAGAAGAAAAGGATAGCAAAGGGACATTCAAACTCATAAGTCGATCGCGAAAATAAACTGACAACGCCATGGCTAAAAAAGAAAAGACAAACTGACAAACAACAGTACGCAAAACATAACACAGAAAACCAAAGACTGAGCAACAAAAACTGGGTGTGGTCTCAGGTGCTCCGTAAGTGTAATGTCAGTACCGAAACACTCATGCAGCCAACTGACAGCCTAGCAATGTATATAATAAGTACCTGTTGTAGATATTATTTGGCACATTGTCATTTATTTCCAAGTTTCTATCCATCTATCCTAATTCTGAACATAACTGATAAAACACAAAAATGGATATTTACTCGAATAAGGAACTCATAGAACATTTCTATCACATGACTACTTGTTTTAATTCTGATCATTATTGCTAATAGTTTTTGTACATGGTCTTTTTGTCATATTATATATTAGTGTTTCATGGTATAAAGTAGCAATGTTAAAATCTTTTGAAAATAGGTCATTATTGGGCAGTCATTCCTAATGCGAAACAATTGTGATCATTTTGTTCAAACACCAAAGTGTCTTAGTTGTTTTTCTTTTCGTAGTCTTTCATAGTTGCCATGGTGGTGTCAGTTTCTCTTCGACTTTTTGAATTTCGAATGTCCCCTTAGTATCAGGAAACGCTCAAAAAGCCAATGATGTATAAATGCTTGATTACGCGAGGAGCGTACGATGTGACCTAAAAGAAAAGCTAAATCCTTCAAACGTAAAATTTGTCTGAGGGTAATAGAACATCTTTATAAGGTCAACATTGAATGAGAGAGTTTGAATTTTAGTTTCTTAATAATTTCTTAATAATTTCTATATTCAATAACGGCGAACTTAAGAATGGTGTTTTATCAATTCTGTCGTCCGAAGAAGGGACTGCTCCTGAGCTGTTGATAATTGTCTCTCGAAACCTACCAGTCCATCAGCAGTTGTATCTAACCATTGCTTATAAAAAGATACATCTCTTTATAAATTTTTAGTTAAAACGATCGAAATGCAAGTCAGTGATACCAATTAGTTTGTTTGAATATGTCTATACTGTTAGATCATTCTAACAAAATCGAATTCATCCATAAAAATGGTTGATAAGTACCGAAGGTTAAAAAGGGCAACATGCTTAATAATTGTAATGGTCACGCTGATAAAGCATAACACATTCTACATTTTAAGACTAAA